ACGTACATTTTTTGAATTTCAAGAGATAGACATCAAAGGCTCTGCCGTGCACTGTTATGGAGAAAAACGCGAAATATGTTTCCTGACTTTGTCTCTTATGTTCTATTGAAATAAGTTTGGTTAGAGTTGCTCAAGACTTTTAAACGAAAAACAAAATCATATGAAGATGAATAGATTTTTTTTTAAAGTACAAATAATGAAAAATCAAGTTCAGCCAGGAATGTAAAAATGTGTGTGTTATCCTCCATCATCTGTGCCTAATAAGCAATGACCCTGTGCTGAACCTGGTCATGAAAGATTTTTGAACAGCTTCTCATTAATATAAATCACTTTATATTCTCATTAGAACTCTCCACTTGTTTTGAGCCCATAAGTTAATCGGATCCACATCTTTTGCCACATGACAGCTTCTTCCTCCCTTCCCCGCGCTGTTTCGATCCGTCATGTCTGAGAGTGGGCTGGCTTCTTCCTCACTGAGGCATGCCCAGCTTCTGTCTGTCCTCTCAATGGATTTGCTTCAGATAAATAAATAATCAGACTGGCACCCCTCACTTTGGATCGCCTCTGTTTTGGCAGGTCATCCACTATGCATTTTCTATCAGGTGTAAACATGTCTGTCAAACGCCGCTGTCCGAGGCCCCGGCATCTTGGCATGCATGACGCCGCCCCTTGCGCCATCGCCAGCTTTTTTTTTTTTCCGGCTGCCCAGCTGACCTTGGCTGGCCTTGACATGACTGAGCACGCGTAGCCCTACCTCCCACATTTGCAGGGCTCTTTGGGAGGCAGAGCCAGCTTAAGTGCCTATTAGTGCAACGGCCCCCCGAGTTGAAGAACCTTTGCTGGCTGTCCTCGCGGCGCTGACGAGGTGGACTGCTAATGACCGGAGCCCATAGCTGGCCAGGCCAGGAGGCTGGCTGCTCCACGTCTTTCTCATCCTCTCATCTCGATGTCGTTCCCGTCGTCATCCAGGAAGCTGCAAACCACCGATGCGAAGACAAAGGGGAGATGGAATGAAGTCGGTTTGATGAGAGGCCCGGTGCTTTCCCGAGTGTTTCCTTGGAGTTTCATGGCGCTGCGTTCCAACTGTGAAACCAACTTTCCGTGTCTGACACGTATGCAAAAAACGCGGCCCATCCGCTTGTGGGCTGCAGCCGTATTCCGGGGGCATGCTGTCTCTCTCCGCTCCACATCCACCACCTCACCTCGGGGATCTGTCATTTTTTCATCAGTCAGTTACGAAGGGCTCACACTACCCTCCCTCCCTCCCGCAGAAGAAGAGCAGTTTCAAGTAGCTGTCTTCTCCTCTCCCACCCTACCGCCGCAGTTTCCTTGCTTGACAGTTTTATCCCTGACACACTGTTTCTTGCAACTTAGAAATCACTATTCCACCAACTCCCGATTTAGGTGCTCGCCGGGTTTGGCTTGCGTTGTCTTCTACTTATTTATTGCTCAGGGCTCTCTATCATGGCCGCCTTTCATTCTGAGCGTTTCCCCTCTAGTTTGGGCTCACAAAAGGTCTCTGGCCATCCAAGACGCCTCCGGATGAGCTGGATCCATCTGGAGTCATCGAGATCCATTGTGTGAACCTTCCAGCTTGCCTTCAGCCTTCGTCATGAGATAGAAGTCCTTTTCTAGCTCTGTTTGTATAGCCTAATGGGCAAATGAAGGCCACACCAAACTGTTATTTCTTTCTTATGTGCTTAAGAGCCAAGGCTTTCCCCCCTCGCTTTTTTTTTCTTTTTCTGAGTGCTCTGACTTGGTATTCAAGGGTAAAAAGCAGTTCTCATCTCCCTGCTCCTTTTCTTTCTTTACCTCCTATTCAGAGACTTGGCTTGCAAAGGAAAGTAATTTCACTCTCTGTCCCTGAGAGAATCGACACAGTGAAGTTGCATTGAATTTCTACCGCAACATTTTTTTTCTTGGCTCTATTTCAGACCCATAACCTGGGGGTAAACATGCAATTAAAATAACAGCAGCCTGCCTTCTCCTCCACTCTCCTCCCTCAGCCATAAGAGAAGCCATATACAACATGGTGACTTGCCTCTCCTAATTGCCTTTAGCTCATAATTGGTATAGAAAACTGCTAATGTTTCTACCAGAAACCGAACATGGTCTCACCTTTTTTTTTTTTTTTTTTTTTTTTTTAAAACCTTCATTGTTTTTCTTCCACCGATGATTTATTTTTCACTGCATTAATGTTGGTGGATAACTTATTAGCAGGTAGCATGCTATTTCCAAATTTCCAACCATTGTGAATAATACTTCATTGTGGATATTGATTAAAATATCCAACAAAGAAACGCAGCCAACTGGTGTAATTTCCTAAATGGCCTCCGTCTCTCATATTCCTACTTTTATTCTCTCTCTCGGTCTCTTTTTTTTTTTTGAACTTTCAAATGGCTTTCTTTTTCTCCTTCCCCACTGAGGAATGAAAAGAAAATATAGGTCAGCTTTTATGGGAGCAATTTGACACATGACACAAGCCATGCACATCACTTGCTCAACTCCTGCTTTGTCTGCTCGCTTTTATTTGTCTGTAATGAAAGCCGCGCAGTTATTCACACACTTTTATTGCGGTTCTATAAGTAGCCGGTGGAGACTTGCCGACTCACGGGGGCCCCCGCTAATGCTGCGCGAGCCCCGTGGTGTCTGCCTGCGCGGGGCTGATAGTGTGAGACGCCTGGCTAAACTCCCATCAAGCCAATCACTGCTTCACAAGCCTGCCCGGCCAGCTCTGCCGGGCCTCCAGCAGCCCACCTCTGTTTCCACTCATGCCAGGGCGGGGGGGCTCGTCTGTATATCACAAAAGCTCCTAAGCCACTGAGGTAGACACTCGCATTTGCCTGAACGGTCGGGGAGATGGGGGTTGGGGGTCAAATCCTCGTCCAGAGCGGGCCGAAGCCCCTGCCTGGTGATTAGTTCTGAGGCACCTGAGCCGGTGGCTTGCAGAGGGGTCTAACCCCCGTCTGGGTCTGACATCATCAGGTGTGGTCATCCAGCTCCTGATACAAAGAGTCAGAGTGTTGAAAAGCCTCCGTGAAGGGGGGGTGAGTTTGCCTTTGTAGGAAGTGCCAGTGTTTGGTGTGTGATGCTATATTTGAAGTCGGCGTGGCAGCGCTGCTGACGGGGGAGTCGGTGGACGTCAGGCTTCTGTCTGTCGGGTCTCAGCTCCTCCCGCTCCCAGCTGCAAAGCCGAGTGTCAGCCGGGGCATTACCATAGGCTGACCTTTGCTATTGCACTCCCCACCGCACAGTTTTCTGACATTCAGGGGCACTGTGGGGAAGTGGGAGGGGGGGGGGGGGGGGGGGGGTGTTAGCATTTGGGCTGCTTTGTTTGTGTGTGTGTGTGCGTTCGTATAACAAACGATCTGCCGGTATACATCGGTGCTCTTTCTCTCCCTGCCTCATTTCGCTCATATGTCATCGTTTCTGCTTTTGAAAACCTGTACAAAGACGCCGTTCCCGCTGATGTTTGTTTTTCCTCCACCCCAAACCCGCCTGCTGTCAAAGAGATTGCTGCTATCTACGTGTAAAATCTGAGCAACCTGATAAATGAGCGAGAGCTAGAACTCTTGCCTGCTGACATCAAGGCTCCATGTACCTAAAATCCTTCCAAGGCCAGAGGGAAAAGAATAACATATCAGGCCAATTAAAGTTAATGCATGGTGACACGCTAAATCGAGGGCAGGGATAGCTGCCATATGGCAGTCCAGGCTGTAAATCAGGAAGCCGAGGAAAGGGAGGAGAATGGGGGGAGAGGGAGGCCTGCTGGAAGAAAAAAGGTGATGCTGTATCATCCAGATCCATCCAGATCCTTCTGGGTGCTGCGGCTCTACCATCCCCCGCTACCCCCCCACCCCCCCCCCCCCCCCTCCTGGCCCTGCAGCACCCCGAGGTGCAACGCCCTCAGGTATCTGTGTATTACCGGCAGCTTCATTAAGCCTTGTTTTTTTTTTTTTTCCTCCTCTTGCTGGGAGGATTTAAATGAGCTGTCATCCTGACCTTTTTGAGCTCCTGCTTTTTAAAGCGAGTTCAGCCCCCCGCCAACCGTCTTTCTCTCTTTCCACCTTCCTCTCCCGCTTTGTCACTCTTTCCGCCACTTGTCTATTCAACCTGCAGGGGGTAAGATACTTTTAAGCCATCACCCTGCGGCAGACAGGCATGCCAAGGTTGTTTTGTGGGTAATTGCCTCTCATAGAAGCTGTTTGTCTGCGCACACTCGCCGCCCCTCCTCTGATGCCACGCGGCAAACGGAGAGGGCACGGACTCTGTAGACTTAATTTGCTCCCTGACTGTTCTCCGGTGCTGATTAAGCAAGCATCTGTGGGGTTTTGAATACAGCAATAAGCCAAGTGGAGCATGGCTAAATATTTCTCACTGTTACATTGAGCTTTCGCACAAAGTGGAAGGCAGAGCCGTGTTTATTCATATCCTCTCACCGCGCCCTGAGCTGGCTCCATTGTTTAATGTCCCTAAAATAAAGGCTTCTTTCAGGCTCGGAGGAGTGCTCTATTGATCTGAGACCAGCTAGCATCAGGCCTCTGGAGAGTGTTCTTTTTTTGGGTGCGCACAAGTACTAAATATCCTCTTCCATGCCACGATGGAGACAGAGAGTAAAGTGCAGTTAGGGAGGTCCAGCTAGTGACTAACATGCAAGGCAAAGGCTGGTGGTGGGGGGGGTTGTGCTAGGTCGGTTTAAAAACTGCCAGTCCCTCAGGCCCAGTCTGTCCATTTACTTTGCCTGTTTGATGTTTAATTGAAGTTGTTATTGGCATCACATGTCCCCTTACCTGATGCTCCGGGTGTGAATCAGTTTCTAATTGAAAGCTAACGACGTCTCCCACCAGCCCGACCCTCCGGGGAGCAGCCACTGAGTTCTGTTAGTCCAGACCCAGCCTCTGCATCACCACCCGCCATGTGCTGCCTCGCAGTCATATCTAACCTCTCCCCTCTGCCCCCCCCCCCACCCCCTTCTCTCTCTTTTTTTACCCTCTCTGCAGTGTGAGGAGAAGTGTGTGTCCCATGTTGCATTAGTGTCTGTGTGAAATGCTGGCCTGTCTGCCAGGGCCAGGTGACCTCCCCCTCCAGCTTCTCCCCCACACGCAGATGAACACTGGACTTCAGAAATGTAAGTAGCGAATAAACCCAGCCTTTAAAATTCCACCCGCCGCCCCGTGTTAGATCCTTAAGCCAGCGCTGGCCTGGTTCTTTTCCTCAGCCCCGTGTTAAAACCAGAGTGGGGGAATGTTTCCCGAAACGCAAATCTGCCTTCAAGGGAAATCTTTATGAACTGCGCCATTAATTTGCTGATGAGTAGCCGTCCACAGCAACAGCGTGGACCTATGTGCTTACTACAACACAACCACCTCTCGCCTAATTCTCACCATCAGGAAGAGCCAGTTACTGTCAGGCTCGCAGACAGATTGCGGCTGAGTGGTTTTGCCCCGCCGATCTTGTAACGCGAGCGAATTTAAGATGCAATCTGCTGCCCTGGTTCTGCAGCAGACTTGTCAGTGCTTGCCAGCTGAATTCAGTTTGTTTGAATTTGAATTTTACAACCCGACTACCGGCAAACTCGGGCACTTTGGAGTGCGAGGGCCAGCAGCACAAATGGAGAGCTGATGTCAGCAATCGCAAGCGAGAGCCGAGACCGAGTCGTGACGAGGGAGAGTGGCAGAGATTAATCTGTAATTAACGCAAACAGGAACAATGAGCCATGTCCTCTCTCTGTTCTACTCTGTCTCCCCCTAATAAACTGACGTTTCACTGTTTTAAAGTCAGGGTTTTTTTTTTTATTATCGTAATTTAGTGCGCACAGGGTTCATCTCATGCCAGATAATAAAGCATCGATATCTCTACTACTTTGATCTTTTTACTTACGCCCAGAAGATCAATCACCTCCCATTTTGTTGGTCAGCTTTCGCTAATCAATCGTAAAAAAAAAAAGTCTACGTCTCCATTTCCTCCTGCCTGTATTTCTCTAAATGGAAACTCGGCTCCCGCCTGACCCATTTCCACAGCAGTTTTTTGTTGTGAAATGCTGCCGCTCATCAAGACTGTAATTTCAGAATCACGGTAATCAGCCAACCCCCAGGAGATCAGCGAGCATGAGGGAGTCTGCTAAGTGCCAGCGTCTGTTGCCTCGCTCAGACAGGCTTGTGACAGGGCACAGCCATCAGCCACAGTGTTTTTTTTCCATCTTTCCTTTTTCCCTTTCATGCTCCTTCCCCATGCGACGCACCGAGACGCATCAGGTACACAGGCTGCAGCTGGAGTTCAATTTGCTTTTGTGTGCAGCCCCATAATCCATTTAGGTGATGGAGCGCGCTTCCCACTGCATGGCGATTCCTGGAAGTGTAGTTTTGGTCCATTTCATTTTCCCCTCTCTGAATCATAATGCTTTTCCTTTTCATCTGCTCTTCAAATGGACACTGGACTCTCAGATCAAAGCCACAGATCTGTATTTTGTTTTGAGTTGATCATTTCGTCAGAAAGCCAGTGAAAGTATGTACACTTTTACCTCCCCCCACTACCTGTAAATGTAAATTAGATTTCCACAGAACTCGGCGTCTCCAAAGCTTTGACCCATCACAAACATCTCATGACAGCTTGACTTCATGACGGACTGCTGTTAGGCCAAAGTTCAGGGACTCGTTGTCCCTTAAATTTTTTACTCAGTGTTCTGACAGGATCCTGAAAGAATCCAGACGGATTCATTTGTACGCTGTGTGGTGCAAAAGTATCAAGCCACCCAGACGCTGCTCTTATTTTGTCTCCAAAGAGCCTCAGTTTTTATTCATCTTTTAAATTTTCTTTAGTAACAGTTGTCAAGGTTTCCTGAAGATGATTTAAAATCTTACTCATAACAGTTCATGTGCCATTTACAGAGTGGTATATTCCTTTGTTTTTTAAGCCAACAAACACTGATGTGTGCATTATTCAAGTATTCAAACTGTCCAGTGTTAACGTTTAGCAGTTAGCTAAGAAAGTAAACTATTTCAAATAGGATCATAAGACACTTTGTTACTTGGGATCCGTCACAAAGAAAGTTTGGCATAGGCAAAATAAAATGTTCGTTTAACAATGGAATTCTCAAATAGCAAATAAATTCAATTTGACATATCGGCATGCAACTTAAAAAAACTGGTGGTCAAAAGATATGTCGGCAGATGAACAGTCTTAAACCACCCCGTCTTTGATGCTCTCCTCCACTCTATGCCCGGCCCCCCATCCTGAGGGGGGGTTAGGAGCTGCAGGTTGCTGTCAGAGACAAGGCCGCATCACGAGTGAGCCACTGTGAACAGACGATGGCCGTGGAGTGTAAAGGCTGTGTGAGGAGTAGCTTGGCGGGCCACGAGGAACAGAGCTCTTTCTCCACTCAGGATGACTCAAGTGGAACAAGAGCCCCAGAGTGGCTCTTGTTCCTTGGTTCTTGCGGGCAGAACAAACTGGGTACAGCTGGACCACTTCTCAGTCACTACTGAGGCCCAAAGTGTCTATTATTTTTCCCTCTCCTCACATTTCTCCTATTCTAAAGGCTGGTGTTATATGGCTCTGTCTGTATTGGCTCACTCACAAAACATAAAGAGGTGGCTTCATGTGAAAAACCAGAAACACATGTCTAATTTGACGCCACAGCTTCAGGCCTAATTTCCTGCTCCTGTGCGAAAACTGCAATTTACAGCAGCGTGAGCTCCTACTCCCCGCCGCTTAAACCTTGCTCAATAAAAACAGTAGTTTGAATAAAAGAAACCCTAATTAGTGCCTGCTGACTGTGCACTTGTGCTCCAATCAGCTTGCTCGTTGAGGGATAATTAGCGCTCGGCCAGAGTGGCCCCTTTCCTCCTGTTTCCTCCCTGGAAACGTGCTTAGCTGGAGATCTGAGAGATGATATGCTCCGTGCCACCGGCAGCCGCCTGCTAACTTCAGTCATATTGCTCATTAACCCTCCCTTGATGCCTTAAGATCCTAAACTAATCCAGGTTTCAGGTGAAGGTTGCAATGCTAATAAGCTACATTTGCTCACTATAACACACAATCAACAGCTGGCAGGAGCTTTTAACACCCCTAAACAGGAAGAAGTCTATTTATGCCCTGTTAGACAGCAATTTCCTGATTTCTTTGTTGAATATGTATATATAAATAAGTTTATATGTTTAGAAAAAATACCATTTAAATGATCTCCACTGCCTGAATTATTATTATTACATAATGGATAAAAGTTTATCAAAGGAATTGCAGAGGAGCTTTTCTTCTATTTTATTATTATTTTTGGGTAGTCTGACTCGCATTGCGCATTACTGGGTGTGCCTCACAGATTATATAAAATTGACAAAAGTCTTAGATATTCATCAGTAAGTTGACGCATGTTTTGGGGCCTTGTTTCAGATAAGATCATTAAACTCAGGAAACATGTTCAATAAATGATATGATGAATTGGGTTGACTGGTTTATCAGGTGAAAAATCTGTTTCAATCAGGAATCAGGAACATCAGGAGTTTTTGAAATTTTTATTGCTGCTAGATTGCACCCAGTGTGCCTAATTAAGAAATTGGCTTTAAATTAGTATTTTGCTGCCGTGCACACTATGTTCACAGAGCCGAGGGAAAACCGGCCTGTCGGGTTAATTACTGCGACCACATTGGCTCAGTATGTTTGGCTGGAAACTTCATCTGAAGATTTCACTCAGCTGAAATGGCATGTTAGGCATGTTTTATTCATCCCTCGGCAGATGACAGTCCTCTCCTCCCTCTCACTTACAACCTCTTCCCCAGCAACACCTGAGAAGACACTCGCGGCACGGAGGCTGTACCACAGTGTCATAACGCGGGCACGACAATAAAGTTTGCCTTCAGTCAGTCGGTTTCTGTGGTGATAAAGCATCGTTTCCAACGAGATCATTAATCATTCTTTGAGTCTGACAAGTGGAACCTATCCTGAGCGTGTCTACGAGCTTATAAATGTTCATTTATCTCCTTGCTTACCCTGGCATTTATGCAGCGACAGACATGATGGCGGGTGTCAAGCTCCGGCTCCTTGGCCCAGACCCCTGCATTAATGAGGCTGCCATCGGCGGGGTGAACACTTAGTTACAGCGGCCCCCCGTGTGCCGCCCCATGCCAGCCCCCGCACATCACTGCCCATTGTTTCCTGTTCGCAAATAAAGCAGGAATTAATTAGCCAGTTGGCACAACTGTGGGTGCCGGCGTGTCGGTGCCCTCGGCCCAGCTCTGCTCTCATCCCGGGAGCTCAGCGTAACCGCCGCACTTCTCTGCCAACATTTCTACCTTTTCGAACGGCCTCCCCCCGCTCAACAGCAGAGGAACGTGGCTCATGTGCTGCGAAGACATCTGTTTTTTACCTGAACTGAAAATCCCCTCTGTCCTACGAGCGGGAGGGGGGTGGGGGGTGTGAATTAACCGTGGCTTTGTGTCGCTGCCTGAGTCGGTCCCAGTCAGGCCAAAGGCTTTGGTGAGTCGTCACAGACTCACAGAGACCAAGCAGAGTGTGTTCAGTGTGCCCGGTGAAAGCCTTTGAGTTTGAACACAAAAGAGGCAACGCATTAGACTCGAAGCCCTCCCTCACACCTGCAGAAACAGATCATCTCGCTCACGTTGTCACTTCGGGATTGTTAAATTTAGCCGCGCTGTTTAGCAGGTGGAGCGACCTTCTGTGAGCGGAGGCCTGGGAGGTGTCTGATTAGTCTGCCGGTGTCAATCAAAGAGCTCTGCTCTCTGCGTCTGTCCCTCTATTGTTCTCCCCCGTTTCTTCTTGTACGAAGCAAAGGGATCCTTCAACCTGTTTCTTATATTATGTTCGGTTCGGGATTCACTGGCAGACCCCCCCATCAGATACACTTAGCAGTGGCCTCTCAACCTCTAAGCCACAAACGATCCCACTTAACTGGATTTTTTTTTTGTCTAAGAATGTGTCAGTTGTGCTAATATTGCTGAGAATGTGATAGAAACCTTTCTTCGTCCTCTTGAGAGTGGAAGTAAGAGAGTTTTTTTTTGGACAAAGATGGGGCGATATGGAATTTGAGAGCACTCTAAATCAGTTTCCACTCAGCTGCTCAGATTTCAACTGATGTATCTTTTTGTGCCATACACACGTCTAACTGGATTAGATTGTCTTAAATTGTGCTTGTCTCCCCCCCCTTTTCTCACTCTCTACCTTCCCAACCCTCCCCTTTCGATCTGTCCTGTTCTCCGTCCCAGGGGACACCGTACAAAGGATGAGATCCGCTCCGTTTCCAACCCCTGCAGAATTGGATGCGTATGCTAAAAAAGTTGCCAACAACCCCCTCACCATCAAGATCTTCCCCAACAGCGTCAAGGTCCCCCAGCGGAACCACGTGCGGCGCACGGTCAACGGCCTGGACACGTCTGGCCAGCGCTACAGCCCGTACCCTCAGACCAGTGCCAAGACAGGACTCCTCGCCATCGTCAAGGTGCCCACGGTCAAAGGGATCCTGAAAGACTTTGACGGCAGCCGGGCTCGCCTGCACCCCGAAGTCATCATGAATCACCCTACCGGACCCTACCAAGTGGCTTCGACCAGCACTTTAAACCACCACCCACCTCTGCCCAACCTGCCGCGGCCCCAGCAGAGTTTAGCGCTCCAACCCCAGGACCTGCCTCAGACTTTACACATGCCCCTCCCCCAGCAGCAGGCTCTCGGCCAGGGCCTCAGACACCCCCCTCCCCTGGCCCTGCACCCCCAGGGCCCGCCCCGACTGCAGGCTCTGTCTCAGCACCCGGCCCTGGGGCACCCGCAGGGCCCCCCCGCGGTCATGCTTCAGCAGCAGCCGGCCCCCGGCCTGCAGGGGGCCAGGAAGCTGCCGGACGGCGACGCGCCGCCCAACGTTACCGTCTCTACCTCAACCATTCCACTCTCCATGGCCGCCGGCCTGCACCAGGCGCGCCAGGCCGACCTGAGCTCCATCGTGCACCAGCTCAACCAGTTCTGCCAGGCAAGGGCCCACGGCGCCGGGGCCACGTCCGTGTGCGAGGGCCAGATCGCCAACCCCAGCCCCATCAGCCGCAACCTGCTCATCAGCGCCTGCTCCCGGGTGTCCATGCACAGCAACCCCGCCACCCCCGGTTTCCCCCCGCCCAACTGCATCCTGGCCCCTCAAGAGAAAGCCGCCGCCCCCATGGGAGCCCACCCCCCGCCCGCCATGAGCCACTTGCCTTCCGGCCACGGCGACCTGAAGCCGCAGCAGCACCTGCCGCCGCACCTCCACCACCCGCAGAGCCTGCAGCACAGCGCCCAGCAGCAGCAGCAGCAGAAGATGCGCCCCTGGAACCACCACCCGCTCACCCACGGGCCCCCCATCCAGAACGGAGGCACGCACCTCTGCAAGCAGCCTTCCAGGGACCCGTCGTTCCACTTCAAGGCCATGGGCTACCCCGCAGAGGTGTGTGTGGGTCAGCCTTACTCCCTGAAACCTCCCGTGGAGAGGCCCACCCCCTCCCCCCCGGTTAACAGCAGCATGCCCGGCCCCATGACCCACTACACCAACGGTCACTACTTCCAGTCCCACATTTGGAACAGCAGCATCCTCCCCACCCCCAACAGTGACAGCTCTGGGTCTCAGGACGTAACCATGTCATTCCACGGTGCCGGCCCGGGTGGGTGCACCACACTGGACTGTGGCCCCCCTGGGGCTCCCCATTACAGGCTAGGAACCTCCACCTCCTCCAACGCCCAGACTAATCTGATGCAAACGACAGATTACCCGGGTGGGGACTTCCAGACGCCCTACTTCCGCGATCAGAATCTAGGGTTAATGGGCAAGATGCACAGGCCTCCTCTGAGCAGGGTAGGTCCAGAGGTCGGGGATGCCAGAACCACTCTCATCCAGCATCCAGGGTACAGATAAGCTATGGCCTTGTCTCCATAACCATTACAAGCCCCTTTGTTTAGTCTTAAAGAAAACATGAATTAAACTCAACTGATAATTTAAAGGACAACTAGTATTAAAGAGGGTAAAATAATATATTTATTGCAGAACATAGTTTTTTCTTTTTTTTCTTCTTTCATCTTGCAAGTGATCAATTGCTCCTTTTAGTTTTACTAACCTATTACCTTTAGGAAACGTCTTTTTTTTTTTTTTAAACGCGTGTCTTGTTTCCAGTCTCCTCCTCAGTCATAATTTCTATTCGTGTGCCTGGATCTCAGCGGATCCTGCGTTATTTCTACTCCAGTTAAGCTTTCTTATGCATGTAAGAAAGACGTAAAAATAATCCCTCGTGGAAAAGCATCAACATATGCGCGTTTTACTCTTCCTTTTTACGGATAATGTCGGAGTTATTGTTATTGTTTTGGGCTACGACTAGTTTTTATTAGATGGCAACACTAAGACTAAATACAATCATTCAGTGAGAGGAAGCAGAGATTCTGTTTCAGTGCAAAGCCATCAGACAGGGACTGTAAGCACTCAGAGTCTGCACATGTCGACAGAGGTTTTAATCTGTTTGAACGTCTTTATTTATTTGTACAGTAAGATTAAAAAGATTCATTCTTCTCAGTCAGTAAAGGAAGCATGTAATCAGGTTCTTTGTACATCGCAAAGCTCCAGCAGGGATCAAATATGTACAAGAGGCGATGTTTCTGTCCTGTTTAAAATGCTGCAACGAATTCAGGTGTTTTAAAAACAAACTTTTTGTCAGTGTCACATTTGGCAACAAGATTGTGAAAAGTTAAGGGCAGAAAAAGAAAAAAAAAAGAACGGAAAAAAGAAGAAGACGAACTCTCCTACCTTCAAAATGGCCAAAGTCAGGATAAGACGGACACACCAGTGTGGAGTTGTGCCATTTATTTGATTTTATTCTTCAATGTCCTCGTGCTCTTCAGACCGTTTTTGTGTCAACGACAAATGTATTACTTGAACGTGGAGGCTGTTTGTTTCGCAGGTATTGAAAGGGATTGTTTGGCTACGCGGACAGGGATGAGGAGCGTTACTAAGGTCGCGTCTAATCTGAATCCAAGCCAAGCCGACAGGAGTTCTGAGCGAACCAAGTGTACTTGCTACTGATTCTGATGGGAAGTCTGCTTGAAAAGACCGAATTGATCACTTGCAAGATCACTCGAAGGTAAATGAAACGGACGTTTGAGTTCAAATGAAACAGCAAATGCATTGTTTATTTTATTGTACACTGGCTTACCTACTAGACTACTGTAACTTTAAACGTTAATGATTGTGTGTGAATGTGATTGGCTGATGCGGGCACATTTAAGAGCGAGTGTGTGAGCTGTGTGTGTGTGTAAAATAACACGATGACACCCATGTTCTGTTCACCTAACTCCCTAACAGCCCTTAAAAAGCCTTAAGTGTTTGGTCCTTGGACTTTCCTTTGAAAATGCGCATGGTTTTAATGAAAAACCCTGAATAATGAGAACGATAACAGTAAGGATACACAGAAACAGCAATTTTTATTTATTTTCATTTTTTCCCAACCTTTTTATTTTAATGATGCTTCAAAGAAAGCAATTCCTTAGAGATTCTTTATAATGGAAGGTAAGAAAAGGAGTACTATTTTGTAATTATATATTTTTTAGCAGTGTGTAGTTACTGAGCTGTAACTATTTTTGTTTTGTTTTCCGAGCTTTCGTTTTGCAATTGTGACTATTTATGATACTTGATTTGCTTGTTATTTAAATTTGATTTTTCCTTTTTGGTTTCTTGTACCATTGCTGTGAAATGGAGGAAGGTCCACGAGCCTTTCTTTTGTGTCATTCTGTACGACAGATTCGAGGCAAGAGCGTGAGAGTTGTGCTACTCTTTTTGTAATATTGTAATAATAAAATAAAGTTCTAATTTATGCTTTGAAACGGGTCTGGGCTCGGTTTACTCAAACGATCCCCTCATCTGGAGGTTTGTGGCCGTTTAGATGATTAACTGTCATTACAACGGTGTCTTATATATTTGCAGCCGTACATTTGATTCGAATGGTTGAAAAGGTCTAACCAAACCACATATCACTCTGAAAGTGACAGCCAGTTGCTGAAGGTGGCAATTGGAGCGGCAATTGCTGTGCTTCCTCGCCATTTATGCCGGCCTGCCTCTGCCAAATAGCGAGAGGAAGTTCAGTAGACAAAGCAAGCTGTGAAATCCACAGGCCTATGTGGCCGAAGTAGGTTTAGCTCGTCTGGGCGTGATGAAAATGGGACTTGCATAAAGGGCGCTCAGTGGGAGGTCAGGATCAGCACCTCCGTGATCAGCATAACTCAACGCCAGGTTAAAGGCAGGTTAAAGCCTCTCTGCAGAGGATGTGCATCCTGTTTGCTCTGAAACGGACTGCGGAGGAGCTTTTGGTTGAGAAGTTTTAATTTTGAAACCAATTTCAAGAACATCTAAGCAACACTTGTTGCTGCTTTCATGAAAGTCTACTTTCTAACACCATTATGTCAGTCAAATACCCAAATATCCTCGATATTTTCCTCATCTCTCCGAAACGCTGCCCTGAAGACTAAATATAAAACCAAGTTGACACACTGGAGTCTCAGTCAGTCAGAAAAATCAGTTCATCCTTTTGGCTGTTGCATTTCTTAGAGGACCTGATATGGAATACTGTGTTTGGGATTGAATGCCTGGTTGCCCGTGTCAGCCTGTGTGAGCAGCCCCGGTGAGCCTCTGTTGGCTCTTTAAACAGGCAGGGTGCTCATCTCTGTGGACTCGTAGTTCCGCCAACGCCTGGAGCCCTCCATGAAAAAGCCTCTCCAGCTCCTCCCTGTGGATGAAGGGGGGAGTTTCAGAATGGGAATGACTTTCCTGTCCTGCAGAAATACTTGCATGCGCGTTTCCGTACCTCTGTTGTTTCTCCTGACCGGACTCTCCGAGCCAGGCGTCACGACGTGCTCCCAACAGCCCGGATCCTCATCGATTTTGCCCACGTTCATGTTCCATTTGTTCCAGTCGACTTCCTCCACTCTGAGACGAGAGGACACGTGCTTCAATTACTGTCTGCTGTGCGACACGTCAATCACCTGTCAGCCAGGAAGGTTTATGTGGAAGGCAGGGTTCTGTGCTTGATCCTGCTCATCCTGCATCGCACGCCAAACTCTGCAAGCCTCAGCCTCTGTTTCCACTCTACAACGATTATTTATAAAGGTGTATTGAATTCAAAGATTTAAAACCCAAGCCAAACAGGTTAAGTACCTTTTTATCCACACCAGATTGACACCATCTCACACTTTTTTATAAAAATGTGTACATACAGCTGCTGACATTAAGATATTAGATATCTGTGTTGTCAAAAATATGAAAAGGTTAATAATCTATTGATTCTTTATTAACTATAAATACCAAAAATACCCTGTTCAGTGTGGTGGAAAAGTCTTCAGTCATTCTTGACCTTTCCCTCTGTCCAACTAAACTCTAAATCACTTTAAAGGTTTACATGGAGAGTTTTTTTAGTTTGTTTGTGTTAGGAATAATTGGCTTAAAAACATTTATTTTACTGATTGTTCACGTCAATGAATTAAAGGATCTTGAGGTACGAAGCATGAGCTGATACTGTTTTAGCCCATTAAACAGTAAAATGTCAAAAAACAGAGGACAGTATCAAGATGTTTCACAAGTTTTGTCTGACACTGAAACCAACTGGCTTGAAGCAACTGCAGACTTTTGTATTCCTTTTGCTGATTTATAAACCTGCTAAAACTTTCTATTTGTTTTTATCAACCATTTGAGATGCATTCAACATTTTGTCCTTGTTGTAAGATGCGTCGTTTTATATAAAAACCTTTTATTCAATGGTTTTTCACAAGCTACGTGACCTGAAACCCATTCAACCTTTTATTCAAGCCTCAAACTAGACTGCATTTGTTGATTTTCCTAGGAAGAGAGGTAAATTAAAATGTAAGAGAACAGGTGCTAATCTGAAAATGATCCTGTATCTTGAGCTTTAATTTTAGGCTGGTTTGGCTCAACGATCCACTGAATTAGTGAAAGGTCTGTTGAGGTGTGTCAGGTTATTCAGGAGCTTTGGCTTTAATAACCCGGAGACGTCTTGGAGACTTTGCAGAGTTCCGACAAACCTGAAACACCTGCGGCGGTCGTCTCCGAGAGCAGTGCCGAGTTTTTTCTCCACGCCACAGCGAAACCTCTTCCTCAGACCGCAAGGCAATCTCTTCTCCATGTCCAGGATGGTGACCGCCCTCTGTGACGATCACAGCACCTCATGACCTGACCGCCCTCTTACGCGAGCGGCCACACGGGCTCCCAGGACTCACCTGCAGCTTCCATATATTGGAGCTCTCGGTGGTGATCCTCTCCACGGTGCGGTTCATGAGGGCGATGAGCATGTTGAGCAGCAGGATGTAGGTGAGAATGATGTAGCCGATGAGGAGCGTGTAGAAGACCTCCTTGTACCGGTATTCCTGGGTGAACTCCATGTCTCCCATACCTATGGTGAACTTGAACAGCTGCAGCGTGGTGTAGGAGATGTCTCTGTAGGTGGGTTTGACGCACTCCTCCCCGGTCGCGACGGGGCCAAAAAGACGTCCCTGTCGTGCGGTGGTTTCGTTTTTCTTCGGGTTCTCGATGAGCAGGGTGACCACCGCTGTGACAGGGGACACAAAGCAATTTACAGGTTCAGCACATCCTGCCGTTGAAAATGAAACAGGTTCCCTGGAACGCCTTCTTTCACTTATGTATCACTCTGTGAATTAGGAAATATTGGACTTGATTTTTTTACTTCAAGTTTAGCCTTTAAATATATTTTATTAATTAGGATCGATTCCAGTTTCATGTTAAGGAGGCTCTAACCTGTTTTCAAGATGAACATCAGACTGGTTTGAGATTTAATGTTATGGCTGATCATTGTATACTTGCACTAGATGGAATTTCCTTGGCTTCCTGCACTACAGAGACAAACCTTGGAGTTACTTTTTCATCAAAATCTGTCCTTTGACTTGCATTAAACAGGTTTCTAGGGCTGCCTTCTTTCACCTTCGTACAATCACCAAATTAAGAACATCCTGTCTCAGGGTGATGCAGAAAAACTAGTGCATGCATTTATAACTGCGAGATTGGACTACTGTAATCCATTTTACTGGGCTGCCCCACAAAATTTCTGAAAAGCCTCCAGCTGATCCCAAATTCTGCAGCCGGAGTTCTAGTGAGAACTACCAGCAGAGTTGGTATTTCTCCAGTTTTAGCCCCTTGTCATCGGCCCCATAAAGTCACAATAGAATTTAAAGTTCTGCTCCTCACATAAAAAACTCCTAATAAGTAAGCGCTGTTGTGTCTCAAATACGCCTAATAAATATTTCCCAAACAGAGAGTCTGCTTGTGCTTTCCAGAGTTTCTAGAGGTGGAAAGGGTTCCAAAAGTAGGTTTAAAGTATCCTCAAATGAAGTGGAACAGACTTCATGATTCAGTGTTCACAGTGTTTTGTCTCATAAAATAATTCAAACTATCATAAAACCTTTTGGGAATGAACTTTTGAATTCCACATTTTCATCTGAGACATTTTGCAGGTTGACAGGATAAAATGAAATACCTGCTGAAAATCCAAAGAGGAAGACTATGTAGACAAAAAGAAAGCGCAGGATGTCACTGAGAATCATCTGCAGGAGAGAGGAGGAGACGTGGGTGAGGAGTGGAGCGAGCACAGTCTGAGGTGCGACCCATGACATCTACCTTCTGAATCATGATGCTGTAGATGCCCATGTGTCGGTAACCGCGGGAGTAGTAGAGCAGGTTCACCCAGCTGAGAGCAAGACACAGCACCAGGAAGCCGAGGTACTCCGGCAACCCACTCAGATACAGCCCAGTCGAGACCAGGAAGAGGATGCCCTGCGCAAAGCTTCAAACAGCAGAGAAACCACAGTCACGCTGTGCAGCTCATGTTTGCAAGTAGTGCCAAAGCAAATGATGTAACCGCTGCGAACTGAGGAGTTTGATACTATTGGACATTTCGGTATTTCTTAAAAGAGGGCCTGCACAGAGAGAAGCGATGTTGATGTTTTCCTTACGATGTGGAGTTTGTAAAATTATTTTAAGCTTTAACACAAAAGTTGTGGTCATGTTTTTCTTTTGTTTGGAGAAATTACTTCTTTTTTTTTGTCATAAGGTATTTCAACAACATGGTCTTTCATAGACATGAATTTATATATTTTTTTGATAGGATAATAAGTCTCCTGAAACTCATCGATCATCATTTGGTTTAATATTTACACAAAGCATGTTTTTTTTATGTCCTTATATATTTACAAAAACCCAGATTTTGTCCTTCTAACAAATATATATTTGACAACATGTATGATATATAACAATTAATTTATACAATTTCCTGTCATATCAAATTTATATAAAATTAATAAAAAAACTGATATAATGCATTGAACCCCAGTCCAGTGTGTGTACTTCTTTAAACTGCTAACAGTAACATTGATGATGAATGAGGACTTTATGCGGTTTAGGTCTTCCATTTGTAACTTTTTATGGCACATCTACACAATAAAGAGAAACTAAGTGCATTGTGTCCACACTAAAACCAACCCTAACTGGCAAATAAAGCTTCACTACTTACAAGAGAAGCTCATAGTATCCATCGATCAGCAGTGTCTGCAGCTTTGGGCGTTTCCTCTTGATGTCTACGATCTGAGGAGTTAGACATGGTTTAGATGTTTAATGTGTTTTAACACTGGATGGAAACTGTGAGCCACGGGTGCTAATGTTGACTGCATACCCCCGTGATGAAGAAATAGCAGTTTGCCACTAGTGTCAGCAGCTGGCCTGTGAGGTACAGGTAGCCCGCCGTGTCGTGTTCAAGGGGAAACGGTGGCTGTGGAGAACAGAGGAGACATCAGGACAGACCTCGGGTGACCTTACAGATCACGGTTTGTATAAGCCAGCTTACGTTTCCATCTTTCTTATTGTAGGCTACCGCAGTGAAGATGCCCAGGTACAGAGAGTAGACCAGTAAGTTGAACACAAACATTTGACTGGCAAACTTGTTCCACTTCTCCTCCAGCAGCTGGTTCAGTGGCTCGGTCTGGAGCATCTCATGGCGATTCTAAGAAGAAACAGGAGGAGGTCAGGGCAACAGCCCCAGCTGCTCTGAGTGGGTGTGAAAATGCTGGAGCTCACGGGAATGCCGCTGCCGTAGACCAGAATCTCCAAAACAGAGTTGTCTTCATAGGAGTCCAGCGAATCCAGATCATACAAGGAGCAGTGGACGGGCCCATAAACCCACTCTGTGAATTTTCGAGACAAGTGTTTGGTTTCCCTTGTCTCGAATTCCCGCTTCAGAATGTGCGAAAAAAGCTGCAGAAAAGGACACAAACTGTTCAGTATTCTAACTCAGACACACCAGCCCAAGGGCCTTTGGCCCTCTAAAGCTAAGCTCTCAGGGCTCTCAGCCCTAGAAGTCAACCTGAGCTCCCCACAACTCTGTTTTTTTAGAATGTGTATTTTCACCCCCCAAAAGTCTTTGTATGAACTTTTTTACCCCAATCTTTCCGGTCTTGGCGGCCATTTTAACCGGGGTCAGTCCATTGTTGTTCTCGATGTCCCCCAGCTTCACTTTGGGATGGAGCCTTGAGGTGATTTTGAGGATACGGTCATACATGCTTGTGATGAACTCTGTGTTGTACTTTGAGTTGTCGGCCACTGTCACCAGGGCGTGCAGCACAGTGTTGCCCTGAGAGTCGGTCACCTTTGCGTCTGCCCGCTGGTGTTCATTCTCCATTAGGTAGTCCACCATGTCGGGCTGGTTTGTGCAGGCGGCCAAAGACAAGGGCAGCTCACCTGGAGACAAACTGCACTGCATCAGTTTGAATTCAGTCTGCATGCACACCATCAAAGCCAGCAAAGAGGCTTTCACAGAGTCCAGTTTAAATTCATGCTGTTTCGAGCTCGTGTGGCAGTTTAACAAAAAGTAATTAACAAGAAAAATATATTCATTTAAAAAAAATGGACAAAACCGAAGCTACCAGAACATGTGAAGAGTGGACTGAAACTAAATAAGACCACATAGTGAAAAACATGGAAAAACTCTAAAGTGAATACAAAAGAACAGGACGGAAATCTTTTTAAAAAAAGAAACAAAAGCCTAAACATCCTGACAACAGTGTTCTCTTTGGATATTCTTGTCTACTAAACCAAGAAAACACTGTGGAAAAAAGAGGAAAAACCTTATTATTATCCTTAATCCAAACCATACACTAAGTGTAGATAAAACATTAGATATTTTTATTAATATGTATGTAACACTTCTTCAGTAGTTTTAGAAAAATGTAAAAATATAACAAAATATTCAACAAACTAAAGGGAAATCAAATTAGGAATCTAAGATGAAATACAACAAGCAAGGAAAAGCAGAAAGTGGAAAAAAATGCTAACAGAAAAGTAGATACGAGAAACACTGAGCACCACAAATAAGAGGACTGGGGCAAACAGGAATCACGAACAGGAATCAGAAGACTTGGGGCTTAGGGTTAGACATTTCAAAAATAGATTTACAGAACGGGAAATACATATGAGATAGACAGAGGAAGCGGTATTTCGAAATAACTAAAACCAAAAACCATGACAGTAGATAAAGATGGCCTTAGCTCTGGAGACATTGAATCAGTTTTGATTGAGTAAAACAGGGAACAATGTGTCTGTGGAGCCAGGAATTGGTTAAAGATAGCTGGCTGTCTTGAATTTCAAAATGATTTAATTTACAGTGAAATCTTATCTTTCTGGACTAAAAGAATACATAGGGCTGCATCCTCCCATTGGATGATCTTTGTGTGAGCACACAGCACAAACTCACCAAAGTAGAAGCTAGGGCCGTCATGTGGTTGAAAGAACTTCCCGCAGGCTTTGGCATGGAGGTCTGCGCCCTTACTGACCAGCAGCCGCACATAAAAGACACTCCTCCTCTCAATGGCAATATGCAGAGCTGTTTGACCTGTTGGGGGGCATGCCACACCTTTTAAATCTCTTAAGCCAAAAGAAAAAATAAGAAAGTCTTAATCTATCCAGGTTTCTGCTTTTGCTTTTGTGGACATCAAACTTTGAAACTGAAGCCACCACAGTCAGATTGAAGCTCACCTCGGTAGTAGCTGCTGGTGTAAGCTGCGTTCACAAACTCCTTAACGTCGCCCAGCCGCTCTGAGATGTGGATCAATAATTCTATCGTCTCGTTTCTGCCATCTTTGAGGTGCAGCAGAGCTTTCATCAGGGCAGTTTTACCGTAGGACGCATCTACAGACGCGGGGAGAGATTTGTTAGGTCACAGGTGGTAGGCGCCCAGTTTGGGGCACAGGTTGCATTGAGGGTCCTTTCACACTTACACAAAGAGTCAGAGAGTTTCTTCTGGTTCCTTTGCAGGTACTGGTGCAAGCCGTCCAGTTTTGTCACATCCCTGCTGGCCACTGCTTCAAACAGTCGATCGATGGTAAACGTCGTGTCGTCCCCCCTCCTCTTTGGCTCCTCACCCTGAATCCCTCTGGACACCAAATGTGTAGCAGACAACAGATTACTGCGGGCCAGGCAGCTTCCCAGTCCCCGTTAATCACCACCGTGGGGCATGATACACAACATTCACGCTTTAATGAAAGCTAAACAAAGACAGAAATCCCTTTATCACTGCATGGTGGGGCTCACTTGTCAAAGTTGAGATTGAATCTGATCTGAGATTTGGGTTTCTCCATTTCCTCTTGGTAATCAGTGTCCATCGGAGTCTTTGGTTCTTCCTTATGCAAAAGTTTCTGCTTTGATTTCTCCTCCTCTGTCCGGTCGTCGGCCTCCAGAGTGAAGCCGAACATCTCTGACTTATTCATCTTCACCTCTTATTCCACCAGTCTGCATGGAAATATGAAGCCAGCGTAAACTGTATGCAGCACCCACAATAATATGTGATGTATTTACATGGACAACAGATTCTAGTTTTTATTTGTCAGTAATTATTGAAAAGATTGGTCAATAAAGTTTGGGGAAAATACTCAACTTATTCTACAGAAATGAATCACATTGTCACAATTGTTGCTGAGGGGGGAGATAAGAGATTGAAAGTATTTTATTCCAACTATATGGACAAACTTGCAGAAAACAGACAATCCATAGTTATGAATGCAGCCTTCGTGATTGTTTTAAACTAGTCATGTTAAAAATGACTGTGGGTCAGCGAGTCTCACGCAGGTTTGAGCTTATTAGAGGTGGTGGTTGTAGACAGAAGAGGACAGAATGTGTGGAGGATCTAGCGTTTGTTTACCACAGGAGCTGATCTCACAGGCCTTTGAGGGCACAGACATATTTTCAGACATGTGACGTTTTTTTTACCCCAGTGACTAACAAAGCACTTTATTTATAAGAACATTTTCCATGTCAGCAGAACACACAGAGCACTTGATCTGATAGCTTCTCACTCGCTTTGCATTTCATGCAGAAAATAATCCAGCAAAAACAAGATGTTAAGGTTTGAGGTTCTGTTTAACTATGCGTGATCTTTGAATACATCTGTATATTTGATGTAAAGGAGAGGATGTTAACAGGAATCTTTAGCTGTTTCTGGTTCTGCTTTTTTTTTCAAATGGGGAATTAGTGACTCATTGGAAATCTATGGACCCCATGAGCGTCATGAGGGGAACGTGCACCAACAAAGCAACAAAATCAAAGAAACAAAACAAAAGAAAGGATGGAAGAACCAGTCTCCTTGGGCTATATTTTACCTTAAAGCTCACACATGTGAATATTTTTGGGTCTCAACTGTGTGTGCAAGAACATGTTCCAGGACATGTTGTTGTGTTTGGATGTATTATTTAAGGCTCTATTGATTTGTGATGCATTGTAATGTGATACAATAGAAGCTTGAGGCTTCTGGTTGTGAAGACCACAAAGACCATTTCTTCTACACAACCTCATAAAAACCTCCTGAAAGCATTATCTGCAGTGTGCTTACACTGAGCTAAATTATAAGAAAACAAGTGCAATAACATGGGAATATTAAATGGAGACAATGCCCTGCCTGAGACTATTACAGGAATCAAAGCTGAAAAAGTCAAATTTCAACTCACCAGTGGAAATTCTTCCCTTTTCCAGATTCTTCTTTCGCTAAATTCTAATTCAAATAAAAACCAAGAAACCGTGCAGGATGCGGCTGAGACCAGGGCGTGGGATCCTATTGTGCTGCCGTCTATGATGCTCACTTAACATGATGGTAAGGAAAAGTAAGGAGGGTGGGTCAAGTGACGGACGCCTGACGACATCAGAGCGCATTACTGCAGGTCTGAGTGCTTGAAAGGATGCTGTAATGAGCATTTGTGCTGATAACAAGACAGCGAACATGCTAACTTAGTTTATGGAAGTATGCAGGCGTTTGAAAATGACTTGGACATGAAAGTAGTTCAAGAAGGCTCTTACAGAGTAAGAAGAAAAACTGGAAAAATGTTATATCTGAGAATTCCCCTGAAGTAAAAACACCCATTTAACAAAAAAGAGAAGAAAAGAAGGGGACAGCACCCAACCAAAGAAACACCAATGAACATCAATTTGAAATGTGAATTTTGGGATGTTAAACACACAAAAAACACTTACCCTTCAGAAACTTCTTTTCTCCGCAACATATATAAAAAACTACTGATTCTTCTTGTGTTCATGAAGCAGCTGTAGAGTTTCCTGTTTGTCTCATGCGCCGCAGCACACTTTCAGTTCAGTTTAATGTGTGTGTGTCTGTTTTCATGCTGCTGCAGTCCTGTGACTGTGCGGTTGATTATTTTGCCTGCCAGCACATTGGTGTTCATGAGATCTGTTTCCTTTCTGAAGATGACTTCCTTTTCTCGCACTTAAGACAGGGCACCAAGGCTTGTTAATGCAGATTTATTTGTACCATAATATTTTGCTCATATTCAATTTTGTGTCCGGTATATATATATATATATATATATATATATATATGTGTATGTCTGAGCAATCTAACAAGCTGCTAAAATCAAGAGACAGAGATAATCAGAATGTCTTTTTGATATCAGGGATGAGGATCAGTTTTGATCTTACAGGCATTTAGCCACAGGAGGCTGCAAATGATTTTGAAATATCCATTAAAACATTTAAGTTTAGGCAGAAATGTAAGTTACCTTCTTAGCTTAGCACCTTCAGTCCTTCAGTCATTTATCTAATACAGAATTAAGAACTTTTCTATAACCAAAATATAGATATTTTTATGATAAGAAAGCAAAACAAGCTAAATCATTTAGCAGTTCGAAATAGTGCAAAACACTGTGGTGAATCTTGTAAACATTTCAGGGTTTTTTGTGTGGATTAAGAGCTTAAAGTTTGTCACAGAGCACCATGGCCACGCCCACAGCGGAGTCGGCGTTCTGTCCGTACACCACCTGCAGGGGAAAGACCTTCTCCACTTCCTGTCTGAGCACCTGGTTGCGAGCCAGAGCGCTCCCACTGCCCACGATCCTGCTGACCCCCACCTGCCGCAGGCTCTCTGCGGGCATCATGGAGGCGATGTTGGCAACGACTCCATGGCACAGTGCTCGGATCACCTGACCCAGGCAGAGATTGGAGGTGGAGATGTTGGTCACCTGGCCCAGGCTGCAAGGGCTGTGTCTCTCCCCCAGGAGGGTGGGGGTCACCCTCAGGTCGCTGGTTTCCTGGTTCAGGGCGCATGCAATCAGCTTTTCATACAGGCAGGATTCACTCAGCTCCCCCCCTGTGAAGGCAGGACGTTCACATTAATAATTTGCCCACACATTATCCATGTTTATGCAATTATCTGATGCTTTTATCTAGAGTGACTTATAATATAGATGCATCCTTACAGTTAACACAATTCATTAAAGATTAACCAATGGGTCAGCATTTATTGTAACTTCTCCTCTTTCTCATATGAACACTCTCTCTAGGGTTGTTAATAGGTCGTTACTAAGGAAAAATGCGCCAAACTTAAACTCAAACATGAGATATGCAGCATCACCATTCTACTGTCATTAAGAAACAAGCTACTTTTACATTATGGTTTCATTCAGACGTTTCCAATCCAGAGATGGAGACCTACAGCACAGCCAAATTATTTACTGCTGCTGTGAAATGGGAAAAGACTTTAGGATAAAGGGTTAGGTAAAAAAACAAAGGAAACAAAGGTGCATAAATGTAAAGTGTCCGGAAGAAATACAGAAACAGCTTTTCTTTTAGAAAAATATACTTTATCCCCTTGAGGGAAATTCAAATACACTGCTTTCTCAAAAGGTAAATAAAAAGAAATGCACACAATTTGTGTGTGTTCATACACACTCATTCTTACATAAAGCTGGGAACTAACTTTATTATCATAAATTGCAGCACGTACCGAGCTCTCTCATCCAAGAAGTCAACATCTCCACAAATGTTGCCAGCACATTCCCACCGTTCAGAGACGCTGCGACAGCCAAGTACGAGGAGTCAAAGTACGGGAAGTAAGAGATCGGCGAGGTCGGCTGTGGGAAATCTGGAGGCCTGAAGTCACCTGGCATCGCAAAGGTGAGCTGGGCTGAAGTGCTTATGTTGAGAACTGGGAAATTAAAAGAAGATTACCACCAGTTAGCTCTAAGGTTCAAACTCCATTTAAACCTCTCACGTGCTACAACTTAATGAACACTACATAAAAACCGAATTGCATGGCTATTTATTTTGATAGTTTTTTCTTTAAACAAGATCAGCTCCGATATGGTTCCAAAAGGTTTCTTTCTTTAAAAAAAGTGTCAGTATTGGCAGAGTCACATTAAATGTACGGCTTTAAAACATGGAGGTGTTTGAAGCATCATACAGTCAGGGCATGAAGAGCAAACCCAACCATCAGTGAAATAACTCAGACTTCCTGTTTCACCTGCATCTGTCGGGGCACTCATGCAGGAGTAGACGGAGCACTGCAAGTCTCCCAGGGCGGCCCCTACTGGCGTTCCAGCAGGAATACCATGCCAGGCCGAGCATGTCTTCCCCGCCAGGCCACCAGATGGCACGCATTGAGGAAGCAGGTGCAAAGGGAAGCCAGCAGCCTTCAGACTACAGCATGCACACACAACAATCGGTTTGACAGCTTGTGGTGATGCAGATTGTTAGGTGGCCACAAAACATGTTTCACACACTTAGTAGTCGGAGTGTGAGATAAAGATCTACTGGAAAGAGGAGGCCAACGCTTTACATACATGTCTTCGTTCCACTGACTGGTAGAAGTGTTGTAGAAGCCCCAACTGGCTGCATTCTGAGGCGTCATCACGCACCCGTCCAAACCGCACAGCATGGACACCACATAGTCCTGGATGGTGCCTGCAGCTGTGAACTCCTGGAGGAACTCAGGTCTGCAGTGGAGAAACCATCCGAGTCAGCAGGCTCGTCACCACAGCAAAGAGGCGCCTGATGGAGCGGCGCGAGTGCCGACCTGTGCTTCATGTACCAGAAGATTGTGGCGCAGCCAAACCCCGTGGCAACGCTCACATGCGAGTCCGGTTGGGGCAGAGAGGACAGGAAGCTGCTGCTGCAGCGGCCGTCCTGCCACGTGATCAGCTGACTGCTGTCTCTGGGGATGAAGAAGTCCCCGTTGGACCAATCACAACCTGTGACATGTATGGATCAGACACAGAGAGCCTCATGGTTCTGCATGACAAAAAAACCAAAGAAGTCTCCTCTTAATGTCTGTCCAAACCAAAGGACACTGTTATCAACCCGTTTTTGGATTAATTAAATATCTATCTAAAAAGGAGCCTATGTATAGATAATGGTGATATAACCCTAACCCTTTTACCAGACTTATCTTATGAACTCCACCCTGAAAGGAAAGCATTAACTTCTCTTCCATTTTCAAGCATTAGTGCTTCCTTGACCAAAACAGGAAAACTTTAAGTGCTGTCAGACCCCTCATTTCTCACTTTAAGAGTTTCAAATGGACTCTAAAGAAATTATTGGGATTTCACATCAACTTCCAGAGGGAGGGACTATTCCCGTATAAACATTAGTTTAATGGTTGATGTTTCTGGCTGTCTTGCTGCTAAACGCACCAAACGAGCTTCTGCTTGGCGGTTAAAAACGCAACATGATGAAACATGGCACCTTTCTCTGCTTTCCAGAATATAACCCCGTGCATCTGACCGGACAGCCCGATGCTGCTGACGTGCTGCAGCTTGTCTCTGGGCAGCTGACCCACGCACCGGTTCAGGGCATCTATAATCCGACCGGGGTCCTGCTCCTTGGCCTTCGTCACACACAGACACACGAACAGGTGACCATAGTTTACTAATCAGCAGGGTAAACGTCTGTAGCGCGTGGGCAGCTCACCTGTATGCCGCTGTCGTCGCTTATATCGGCGGCAGTGGGTAAAGCCTGACTCTCAGCCACCGTTCTGGAGTCAGCAGCCAATAAAATGGCTTTAACAGACGTGGTCCCCACATCTAAACCCAGGATAAAGTTAGACATGACTAATAACGACGCTGTGCTAACCTTTGAACGCCATCCTAACAAAGTCTGGGCAGGCCACTTTCAAATTAAAACTAGAAAATCGGACACTTAGTGTGACAGTTTTTAGTGTTTTTTGCTTCTGAATTATCCAGTCGTTCTTAAAAAAACTTTAGGTTATTTTAAACCACATTTGAGCTATTTGGCGTTCATGCATCTAAAATGTAATATTTTTCTTTGTACATATATCAATATTAGGACTGATTTAAGTTTTGATTTAGTTGTATCTGTTGTCTACACATTTGATTCCATGGATTCATTTGCAAACAGATACAGGGTTGCATTCTCACCCAGGGACATATAAATGATGATATTTGTGGAATACCCAGTGGGGATACAAAGCTTCTGTCCTTTCAGTGTTGAGTTTAATTTAAGTCCAAAGTGTGCTAAAGGATGATTTCCTACAGTTGAATGTCCAAAAACGCACCACATCGTCACCTCTTTGACAGCTCGTCTACCCAAAATGCATTGCGGAGGAATATGGCTGACTTTGGACGAGGAGTGTCATCCCTACAAGAATGAATGCGCTGTTTCTGTGCTATATAAGCTGACACTCCTTAGATTTTATCTGACGTTTAAGTTTACCAAGTAACTCCTATATATTTGTATTTGTGATTGTGTCGTGACGACGCAACGAACTTAACTTTTAAATCCAGTAAGTACCAGTCTCTGTGAGCGTGCTGCCCGCAGAGCTAACATGGCTATCCTTGGAGCATTAGCATAGATCTGAGTGTTAAATATGGGCAAATATGTTTTCCTGTCATCAACTTCATGTGAATATCTTTGTATTTTAAGACTCAAAGAATTTCTTGATCTCATACTGGTGTTTAAAAAGTTAGTGTTTCGAATTACCTGGCCTTTTTAGCTCAATTTGGCCCTGAGGCTAACACTTTATTTTTTCGAATGGCTACTTTATGTCGTTATGTGCATACCCATAAAGATCTACAAGTTGATGTGGAAGCCTTGTTTAGCTTTCTGTAATTGTTCAGACATTATTCATCCAATTCCTCAGGTATTTAAAAAATATTTGTTTTGCAGCACAGCAGTTTGTCTGTGTAATGTTGTGACTGTAATGACATCTAAAGCATTTGACATAGAACGTATCTCATGCATGTGTTTGGTAATGGAGCCTTACCACAAATGCTGAACTAACGTTTAGGCTGTCACAATATTCTCCTCTAAGTGCAGATTACCGCTAAGCATAGACAGAGTGTACTAAAATGGATGTGATTTTTACATGTCTTGTTTTCCTGTGTCTGCAGCACCCTCCTGTGGTATCTGACCAGATGGCAGGAATCGGGGCCAAACGTGAGGGGCCACAGTTCATCAGTGAGGTGGCTGTGAGGGGTAACGCCGCCGTGCTGGACTACTGCCGGACGTCAGTGTCCGCTCTGTCCGGAGCGACGGCTGGCATCCTGGGGCTGACGGGACTGTACGGCTTTGTCTTCTATTTCCTGGCTTCTTTTCTCCTCTCGCTGCTGCTCATCCTCAAGGCGGGGCGGCGGTGGAACAAATGCTTTAAATCGCGGCGGCTGCTCTTCACCGGAGGCCTTGTCGGGGGTCTTTTCACATACGTCCTGTTCTGGACTTTCTTGTATGGAATGGTCCATGTATACTAAGAGCATCTACGACACATAACCCTGAAAAGTTTGTGAGTGAAGCTCCGGGGACCTCTCGGTTTGTCCGCCCTGCTGTTTGTAGATAGACCCTACTGTGAAAGATTTGACATATTTCCATTTTGACCTGTTGATACATTTTAAGGATATGTTAATAACACTGATACAAGAGTAACTCGTCTCCTGTTCTTATCATGGTCCACATTTACACACGACAGCAAACTCCTTTAACCTGTAACTCCTGCTCTGTGTTTGGTTCCATCCATGCCAGGTATTCATAGTGTAGATTACTGATAACATTCTTTAAAAATTGTCGAATAATTTACATGTATGTTGTGGTAAAATTATAGCAACTGTGATCATGGATTAGAATAAATGCCTCTCCACAATTTGACATAATTTGTCTGTTTATATGTCAGGCATTGTAAAGAAATCAACATGACACACATTTGTTTCTTTGAATAAAGTACATTCAATAAATAAAGACAGTAATTGCAAAGAGGAAAGGGATTCCCCAGTCCTTAGTACCCATTTGACACCCACTCAGTCAGCACCCCTCCACTAAGAGCAGCTTTGTGTCCTGGTCACTTTATGACTGACATTAAAGCTACAATCAGCATGGATATTAGTCAACACAGGGCGAGAAAAAAACGGGTGTGGCACAGAAACATGATTTATATCAATTTCCCTCTCTGAGACATTTCTCGCTCAGCACTCCAAAGTGTGTATTTACAAATCAATAATCCATCCCTATAACGTTGCTAGTGGTCTGACTAAGACTAGCTTTATCCAGGTTTATTACGCAGAGTTTATTTTTGTACTTTATTTGGCATTAAGTCATTTTTATTCAAACTTAGATGTTCATTTGAAATTCTTTTTAAATATGGTGGTTTTAGTAACCTATGTTGACTTTTCGCAGTGACAGAAGGGTGAAAATAAAACGCATACAATCTTTAATGCTCTGAATATCAAATAGACAGCACTGTGATATGGAAGGCATATGGAAGAAGTCACAATTTCTGCTCTATGTATTTTACTGATGATACACATGCTGCAAGCTGGTCCATGTGTAAATGTAGTGTGCCATGCTCCCCTTTTATCCCTTCAACCTTCAGGAAAAAAACAATCTTTTGATGTAAAAATGAAATAGTTCAATATATTCAGATAATTTATGTATATTTAGATAGTTGAAAAACCTTGATGTGACTAACTGAATTAAACCCAAAATGCCTAGTGGTATTAAATCCAGGTGATGACAGTTTTTGACTGCTGTTGTACCTTAAATGAGTAAATGGAGTATTCCTGGACCTGACCTGAGCACACATCCCTGGACCCACACATCTGAGTGACCGTTCCAGCAGGTGAGAGGAAGACATCAGTCTGACTTTGGGATCCACCTCCTGCGCTGTCAAACACACATCTGGAGGGGGTTCGTCTTTGTCCTCCTGCTAACCTAGCTGTGCGAAGCAAAAGTGATGTGGTGCTTGTGCTCGGCGCCCTGTGGCAGGACGGCCGAGTATCGCTGCCCCGTGTTGCGTGGAATGGTGGGACCCCGTTTCTCCACCGACGGCTGGCCTTCATCATTGGAGGACGGCTCCACGGTGAGTTCGGTCTCCTCCGGGTTTTTGATGTTGTTGGCAGCATCTTTGTCTGCGGCAGGTTTCCTGGACCTCCTCTCCCGGGCACCCGGTTTCCCATCCTTTGCTTTGGACCGCTCTTTTCTGCTCGCAGTGCAAGATTATCAAAAAGATATCACAAAAAAAAATGTTGACTGTTCAAAGTTTGTGCAGATGCGGCGACTCTTACTTGAAGTTGATGATCTCAAACTTCCTCTCTCGGTAGAAGGAGCTTGTGTTCATCATGTAAAGTAGAATCATGTCACAAACAAAGGCCCCCTAAAGCACAACATATTTACTGTATTTTCATGAGAAGGATCGTAATTCCTTTTGTACTTGTCATCATGATTCTAAATCTTGTGAAGCTTTTATTGCTAATCCTCCACACAGACAACTAATAATATGACGAATGACTTACCACACCAATCAGAGCAAGACCAGAACCAATAGCAATTATTGTGGGGACGATATTGAATTTCCCAGCCTGCAATATCCACAACAAGACGTTCACTGTTAGTCTGTTCCGTGTGTGTGTGTGGGGTGGGGGGAATTGCTGGTGCCTCTGCCTCACCTGGCCATTGATCATGATGTCGAATCGAATCCCGTACACTTTGTACAGAGTGCGATAGGTTTCACCGTTTTGGTCCTTGTAGTACCTGGCATATCTGAGAAGGAGAAACGGTTCAACTGACACAACGTGCAGACAAAGATAAGACAGGAGTGGAGGGGAGTGGAGTGGAGGGGGGAGAGTTGAGCCAAACGTGCGGGAGGACACACCGGAAGTTGTATCCTGATGTGACCGAGTTGTTCATGTTCATGTCCAAACGGGTGAAGCTGTACTCTGGATTGCACTTGGAGGAATCCTTATCCAGGTCGCAGTTCCACTCAATAAGAACACCAATAGAGCCACCCTGTGAACACAGTTAGAGGAAAAATAGGGTTAAATGTAATAAGGATACATCTTATTTCCTTTGAGACGACAGGTAGAGATGCAGAACTGCATGTAAACATCCAACAAAGTCCGGCTTTAGAGAGTAGATTAGACTGAGGAGTTGCAAAAGATTTAAGCCAAACTAAAAACCTACCCCAGCTACCATTAGTTTGAGAGGAGAGTATGCCCTGGTAAAAATGCATTCAAAATAGTTTTACCTTTGTTATTCAACAGGTTGAACAGAAGATCAGATTCTTAAAACGTTCCTTTATTATCAAATATTAAAGATAAGAGGTCACATTCTCACCAAACCTTTAGAGGCAGATTACGAAACTACCTTGACAGCCATGTCCTGGAATTCATGTCCAGTGCTCGCGACCAGATCCGTGAGGCGGAATATGGGGCAGTAAGGGTGGTTGTCTTTGTCGTAGGAGCATCTCTTTAGGTAGCTGTCGTCAGTTGTTTCAAGGACATTGGATCTAGTAGGTAAAATGAAGCAGAAAAGTATCTTTAAACGACTGTAAAATACTTTTTTATTACACAACCAAACCTAACTGCTTGTCCATCTGGTGACTTAGAGATGGTAACCAACCTCTGAGGCCATGCAGAGAGCTTTCTATGGACTGACAGGAATTTGTTTTGTGTTTTCTGAGGTTATTTCAGTTTATAATGCCATATGTGACCATTTGAAAAACCTGAGTCTTTCTTCTCAAAATGAGAAAAAAAGCCGTCTTTGCTTTACACACTTGTTGTTTTTCTTCTCAATATCTCACAACAGTTGCCTAATGCAATTACAAGTCAGGGAATTCAATCAAAGGGGAAGTGCATGAATGGAAAAGTTTGAGTTTTTATTTTATTGATTTTATTTACTTGATTTTATTGTATTGGCATTTGTTGTAAGTGAGCTACATGGAAATTTCACTGAAAATAAATGAAAACTAAAACTGAAACAGGGGGAAAGTCACTGTAAGTTGTTTGATATTAACACATATGATAAACGTATCTGTGTGTTCTGAATTCTTTTTTAATAGAAGTTACATGTTACATATCTTTGTCAATCCTCTAATCATTGTAAATGTTTCTAAATTCTTAGAATTTACTTGATTTTCATGTTTACAGGAAAATGCATTCATGTTAATGTGAACTCAGCTTCATCCGGCCTAGTTTCATTGGATCCTAATTAAATCTTAATCATGATAAAATATTATGCCATCCAGATCCCATCAGACTGTAAGTGGAGGCGTAATACTGTCGGCCGGTCAGTGCTGCCAGCCAGCTGAGTGACCCCCATTGAGAGGGAGGTTGTATTACATGTCGGCCCTCAGCGAGCAAAAGCATGCCAAGATTACTGAGGAAGCATAATAAGGATGTTTGCCTAATCGGAAGGAGGTTCAGGCTGATGAGTTAGTCATGGCCTGCCGCCATGTCCTTTTTCTGTTGCGGGACCTGAACAGAGGACGGCGGGCCGGACTCTCTGGACGAGCCCGGTCAGATCTGACACCTGTCCAGAGCAAGGACCGCTGTCAAGGACGTCTCAGATGACTGTTTCACTGTCTCTCCGAGTGCAATGCACAGGCTTTTTATAAATAGCAGGCTCTCCGCACCCTAAAACTATTTAAAGCAGCCATTGGAACACGTATATATCCCCCCGTCTCACTCAGTGCCACGCTGCCTTCAAACCACAGGCAAGCCGGCGGTCAGCAGCCACTTACAGCTACTTACTTGGAGAATTCAAACTTTGGGAACCTGATGAAGTTCTTAATGTAGATGGTGAAGTTTTCAGCTGCACCCAGCAAGGGCTCTCTGGAGGAGGGAAAAAAAAGGAAAAAGACGGGCTGACGTGTGAAAATAAACTAAAGAAATAATTCGATGAGGCTGCACTTGTAATAAATAGAAGGTGTGAAATAGCTCGGTCCGCATGAGGGATCAGAGGGAGAGCTGGTGCAGAGGCACAAAACGGCAAAAAAAGAAAAGAGAGAGCAACAGTGACAAAGATTCTCACTCCGGTCTCTTGCTGTATTCCACAGGACACCAGGCGTGTATCTCACAGGTCCCCGTGCTGTTCACACACAAGCCGGTCTTCATTCCTGATGCAGGGAGCAAGAATCAGGAAGTGTTTGACTTTAAAGGACAGTTCTGACAAAAAACTATTATTAAATCACTTCAGTGTGAGAAAGGCTAAAGCCAGGCTACTTTTCAGGGTTAAGACGGTCAGGTTTCTAGGGTACCAGAGGAAAATGGCCCTCACCATGACCGGCCGCTACACTCTCCCCCTCCACGCAGTCGTCATCGCTCTGACATCGCCCGTCTGGCACCTTGAAGCTCTGTCAGGAGACCAGCCGAGGCTTTTAGGAGGGGAACAGAGCATAAAAAAAAAGCAAACACACTGAGAGGCGCTCCTGAGTGTGGTCACCTCGGCGCAGAAGCCCAGCCTCTGATTGGGGGTCTCGATGTAATTTGTGACTATGAAGAAAATCTGCTCGCCCTGAAAAAT